AGCGATCGCTGGTCATGCAGGAAGTTCAAGTGCGAGAGAGAAATGCCCAATGACATGTGCGATTGTGAGTTATGTACTCCGCTTGCAGTGGCTGTGGCAGGTACCAGAGACCCCACCAGGTTCAGCTCAACGGCGATGGGCAAATAGAAAAAGCGAGTAGCTAAATGCAATATACATTAGATATACTTAGAACGAGGCTATAGAAAATTACGATTTATGTAACAAGTCGAAGAATCTGAGCGCATTTATTTCCGCATCTACAGCTGGCAAAAAATAGCCAAGGATAGAAAAGCAAAGCAAAGAAACGATTATATATATATATATATATATATATATATATATATATATATATATATATATATATAAATAAATATAGGAAAAAAGTACAGATGAGATGAGAGAACCACAGCTTGGCTGGCGGAGTGGGGAGATGTTGAAGCGCTCGTAATAGTCGGTAAGTCAGTCATTCATTCAGACAGATTGACTTTGAGACGGATAGACGCAATAGACAGTCACAGTGGTCGTCGAGTCAGTTATTAAATGTGACCATAAAAGCGAGAAAGATAGAGAGAGAGGGAGACAGGGAGAAAAATAGAGAAAAACAATAGAGAATCAGAAACACAACACACAAACGGTGAAGATCGTAGCAAAAGTTATTACATAACAGGCCGACAGCTGGGTGCTGACTGGGGCGATGGGGGAGGCGGGGTGAGCTGAGGTGGCTAAGGCGGTAAGACTTATAAAAATCATAGCACTGCGCGAAGCGTAAAAGCAAAGAATTATAATTTTCCAATCAACTGATAAATTTTTAATGATGCAACTTGCGACGATGCAACGATGACGATCGACTTAGATGGGGGCATGGTGATAGGGGGGTAGGGGGAGGAGAGGCTGGCACCATGACCAGGGGGGAGGGTCAGTGTGTATAGTGCGAAAGACCTGAGGAAAATGTTGTTCAAAGTGCATGCTGGAATTTTTCGATGCATTCGCCGTGGCATTGGACATGTGTAAGAAACATTCCCATAGGTGTGATTGCTGGCGCGCAAGAACAAGTAAAACACCAAATTACTGTTACTGGGCATTACACACACACACACACACACACACACACACACACACACACACACACACAAACATACATGCATACAGGGAGTGAGAGCGGTCGGGTGAAGAGGCATCTCTCTAATGCACTTGGCTGCAGGCCATTGGCATTGGGCTTTTGTGACTCTCGTTGCGGACCACAGCGTCGCCGTGATCGATGATGAGCTGATGATGCGGTTGACTGCCCACAGAGTGCAGCCGTCGAGCCGAGCCTCAGATGCTGACACTACCAACCGACACTGACTCTCCAAGCTCAGCTCCACACACTCGCCTCACCAACTGTCCAACTGTCCAACTGTCCAACTGTCGTACTGTCTAATGTCCCTCGTCCGTTGTCCGTTGTCCGTCGTCCGTTGCCCGCTGTCCGTTGTCAGTTGTCGCTTTCGCACTTGCTTAGCCCGACGACTGTCCACGACACATTTCTCATGCAAATAATAAACACCGCCTTGCCGCTGCTACTGCTGCCACGGCCTGGGCTATTGACTTGCCCCATCTCGATAGTCGATGGATATGCAAGAAAGGTGCTTGTCCACACAATATCTGCTACATTATGCATTAGTTACTTGGCTAAATACTCTCCGAAGGGAGAGAGAGGCGGGTGCCAAGGGGAGAGTAGAGCAGAGATGAGCCAGCTGTTCAGTTCAGTATAGAAAGTTGAGGCATTTCTCAATCAATTTCTATTTTAGTTAAACTGATATAGATACTTGGAAATAATTTCATGATATTTTGATGACAGGCATCTTGGGGGGTATAGGCGGGCGGAATAGGGAGGGTATAGAGGCAACGAAAGTTGGACAAACAGGAGGACACTGACTGAAAAACAGACAGACGCACGGACAGAAAAAATACGGACGGATGGATGGGAGAACAGACAGACGAAAAGATGAACATACGGAAAGACGGAAGGGCACATGGGCCATACAAAAAAATGGAAGGACGAAAGACAGGCAGACGGATGAATAGACGGACAGAAAGGACAGATGGACACGGACTGAAGGATAGGCAGAAAAATAGACAGGCGCACGGACAAAAGGACAGACGGACAGATGAGGGGGAGCAAGCTTTTAGAGCACCCCTTACCACTCATTAATTAGATCAATCTAACTTTTCCCCAGTGTTGCTATCACAGGATCAAAGTCGTGTGTGTCCTTGATGTGCAGGATAATGACAATTCGCTTAACAAGTAGAAGGAGCTAAAAGAACCTTTATTTGACTGAGGATGCTGTATAAAACATAATTAGCTATCCATGCAAGATGATTTCAAGAGGTCCCAGAAGTCTGTCTCATCTCTCTCTCACTCTTCCTCTATCTGGCTCTATCTTTCTCTCTCACTCTCGCTGTCTGCCTGCCTGAAAGCTAATTTGCCATTTGATTTCGGCGGGAAAATCGGCAATTTGATTTGTATTGAAATAATGGCATATGGGTCAAGCGCGGCCTTGCGGTACGCCGTCTGCAAAGGAAGAGTCATTGCTGGCACCAAATATGATAAATGAATTGAGTTGAGCTGTTGTTGTTGTTGTTGTTGTTGTTATTGCTGTTGCTGAGGCGAGTTGGCCAGACCCTCGAGCTGTGCGAATGGCCATTAGACATAAGAAAAGGAACAACTTTTACGCTAGGCGACAGACAGGAGACACCGTAAGACAATCACCTGGGCGCGAGTTGAGTTGTTGTTGTCGTTGTTATTGTTGTTGGCATTGGTGTTGGTGTTGGTGTTGCACGATGCCATTAGATGGCTAAGATGATCTTGGCCAAGTTAGCGCGCGTAGCCGATGGCCAATTGAGCTGCACATATTTAAGCGCAAAATACGACAGTTATTATTATTGTTGTTGTCGCTGTTGTTGTTATTGTTGCTGTTGTTGTTGTTGTTGTGGGGATTGCTGTGATTGCAATTGCAATTGCCGATCATCGAAGCGCAATCAATTAATTGACAAAGCACATTGATGGAAGAACCAAGATGATTCCAACTAACAGCCGATCAACGTTTTTTTCTTCCTTTTTTTTCCATTCGCCTGAGCTGCATCTTCTGCTTCTGCTTCTTCTTCTTCTGTAGCAACGTATCGAAGCGTTTGCGCGCTGGGCTGCTGTAGGTAATTGAAAAATAAAAGAAAATGCGCGAAAATCGCAACGCATTAGCCGAACACCCCATGGGCGAGCGACCGCATCGGGGCGGGGCAGGGCCGTGCGGTGCGGTGCGGTAGAGGCGTGCGAACAATTTGGCCGACGCGTCGATTCGTTGCGCCTTTTGCGTCCGAGCACCTCACAGAGAGCGAGACTTGAGCATGTCCAGCTCGACTCGATGCTCATTCGTTTCATTCGTGCTGTTGTTGTTGTTGTTATTGTTGTTGTTGTTGTTGCTTTCGTACTCCATTGGCCATTTGCATTTTAGCAATTTGTATGCGTGCAGCGCACGGAGCGCGGCATGAAATACGCTTTGACCATTTGGCGCCTGTTCGCTCAGACACCTGAGACACCTGAGACGTTGCGATTGGCGAGTCTGCAAAGTGGCTGGCCTCTGGCTGGCTGGCTAAGGCAGACGCTGCACGATCTACCAAATGAAAATATAAACATTAAATTTCCTTATTAAATAACGGTCGACAATACTGGGCACATATGTCTGTGTGTGTCTATGTGTCCATGTGTGTGTGTGTGTGTGTTTAGACCATAAGCCTAGACTGAGGTGCTGCAGGTGCTTTCCATATTGCATTACCAGCAAACAGACAACAACAACAACCACAAAAACTGTTCAATGCTTCACTGAGAAGCGATTCACAATTGTTGTTAGATGGCCAACGTGTCATAGCTCAGCCATGTTCGCATATAAATCAGTTTTGCATGAGCTGTCCCCTCTCTCTCTCTCTCTCTCTCTGTCTCCCTCTCAACATTTTGGTGTAAGACCCAATGCCTGATCTATTGGCAAGCCGAATTTTTATCATTTCTATTGGTCTTTCTATTTTGTTAGATTACGGGCATGCGAATATCCCTGAGTTGTTCAAGTTTTTACGAACTAAAGCTCATTTTGCATTAGGTTTTAAGTTCTTAGCGCGAACAAGCTGATGGTTGAAAAAAGAGGATCTTGACTTGATCAACTAGCAATTTTTCCATGCAACCCACTCTGCTCTAATACTAATAATACTACTAATAATACTAATAGTCTGCTCTAATAATCTTTCTAATGTATGAATGACAATTGTTTTTATTTTATAAATTTTAATAGATTATTTTCTTATACAAATGCACATAATTCAATTATAAAATATTGTTTAAATTAATTTCTATAACTTACTTTAGCTACGTCTCACTCAATTTGATGAAAAATAGTTATTCAAGTTTACTCATAAATTATATAAAAAATATATAATTCAATAGTTTTTAAAAATGTATAAATTTAATATATATAATATAATATATAATAATATTATATTATATACATATATAAAATTTATTTATTTATTTATTAGTACTACTTATTAGTATATAATATAATAATAAAACTCACTTAAAAATAAAGCATTAGCAGGGCTTTACAATTATAAGTATTGTTTAGTTTTTCTAAATTTTCTTCATGTCTTTTAAATTCATCTTATAAATAAATTAATCAGATTATTATAATAGATCAATAATATCAAATAACTTCTTTAATTTGATTTCATTCATAGTAATAAAAATATGAAATTCAATAGTTTTTAAAATGTGTACAATTTTTTTTTATTTAAGTGTATGATATGTCATTATATTATTATATTAGATTTTCAGATAATACTCCCATCCTGCAGTTGCCTTTAAGGCTATACAATTTATTTATTTTTTTTATTAGTGATTAGAATTAATATAATATTAAAACTAACTTAACATTAAAGCATTCATGTTTCAAATAAATTTATAAAATTATCATACTAGATTAATAGTAATAGCTCCTTCAATTTATTTTCATTTAGAGCAACTTTTCCTGCAATGCAGCCGTGTTTAACTAATTTACGAACTAATCACCTGTTCTAACTCTCCAGTTGGATCGTCATCGTTTTTATTGGCAGCTGCTTAGAAATGCCGCGAGGGTAGTAAAAATTCTTTGGAGAGCGTTTCGCTGTTCATGTTAACAGACTGAAAATATATGTAAATTGATTAATTTTTATGGACTCTTCTATTGAAAGCATTTGGCATGCGTCACTCAATATTATTGACAATATGCTTTTGGATTCGTCCATTGTCTGCTTCATTTTAGTGTAGATTTTCTTTTCTCTTCGAGTTGATTGAATTAATTTTTTGTTTTTGTTTTCAGTTTCTTCTCTAGCCATTGTTGTTGCTGTTGTTGTTATTTGTTGCCCAATTAGGATTCTCTATAGAAAGTCAATGAGTTTATTTTATTTGATTGACTTTTAATGAAGACCACGCTGGCTCTCCTCTCTCCACTCCATCTCTCTGTCGCACTCTCATTGTGTAGCTCGAAGATGTATGGGATGCCATTTCGATTCCATTACCCTAAAAAATTTCCAATATTAAATCGTGTTGCTGTTCCATTGGGTCATTGTGTTAACAATTTTTATAGATTTTTAATTGGTCCAAATGTGAGTTTTTAAAGTTTTTGTTTTGTCCCTCGGCTCACAGCCGTGCAGCAAGGTCGTCAGACCTTTAAGGTGTCGCCCATTCATTTGCATAGCCAATCCACTACTCTCGTTCAGATGGTCCCGTACGTGGGCCCTAATGAGCTTCTGTTTTGATACAAAACTTGCTAAATCTTAAAATTAAACAAATGCGAAGGCTGCAGTTAAATGTCAAATTTGATTTGACTTTATGTAACTTTGAATCTGTTCTATTTTAGAGACTCGACATCGAAACGAGAGCGACCTAACTCTTTAGACGATCTTGGATATCGGTTTCGTGCGTAGATATCTTGTATAGATATCATAATATGATATCTAACACAGATCATATAGATTTCGTATACTTGATAAGATGAAACGACATGAATTTTAAGCTATTCAAGAGGCCAATGCAATGTTTGTTTGGTAATCTGATCTTAATCTGAATTGCATGGTTATAGAAGATGGAGAAGATGGAATGAGATAGGGTGTGCAAGAGGAAGAAAGTGAGAGAAGGGGAATAAGGAAGGCAGTTGGAGATGAAGCGGCAGACAGACGGAGAGACAGAGAGAGAGAGAGAGAAAAAGAAATGAAAAGAGAGAAAGAGAAAAAGAAAGAGAGAAAGAAATGAAAGGAGAGGAAGAGAAAAAGAAAGAGAGAAAGAAAGAGAAGCAGATAGAAAGACAGAGAGAATAAGAAAGCAGGCAGAGAGAGAGAGAGAAAGAATGCAATGGAGAGAGAAAGAAAGAAAGAGATGGAAATAGAAAGAGAGACAAAGAGAGAGAGAGAGAGAGAGAAAGAAATGAAAAGAGAGAAAGAGAAGCAGATAGAAAGACAGAGAGAATAAGAAAGCAGGTAGAGAGAGAGAGAGAGAGAGATAGAGAAAGAAAGAAAGAAAGAGATGGAAATAGCAAGACAGAGAAAGAGAGAAAAAGAAAGCAGACAGCAGAGAGAACTTAAGGAAATGATAGGAAGATAGGATGGAGAGAAAGCAATAGACTGAAGCAGAACGAGCGAGAGGGATGGAATGATGAGGGCAAAAGAAAAAGAAAGATCGAGTGAGGAAGAGACGAAAAGGGAGTGAAAAGATGCAGCTGAGAGAAAACGAGTAGAGAGGGCAGAGCAGACAAACACAATGAGAGAGAATGTGAATGATAAAGAGGAAGAGAGGAGAAAATGCAATAAACAGACAGTCAAAGACAAACCCAGTGAAACAGAAAGAAAGAGAAGAGAATGAGAAAAAGATAGTGAAACCAACGCCACATGCAAAAAAGAGTGATAAATAAGAGAGAAATATATAACCAAATCAATGGATAACATCGTGAGATATAGCTATGGATTTCAATATAATAATTAATTGAAAACAAGCTGTATTCCAAGAAATATTTACTCTATAACAGCTTGAAGAAGTATCAATCGAAAGGTATTCGATTTTAATGAGGAATGGTAGAGAAACATGAAGTTATGTAAGCCGAGAAGTTTAGGTTCTATGTGATTTCTCAAGACTATACAGCTGATATTTCGCTAGCCAATGCCACAATACAAACTCAAGCAGAGTGAGCACATCCGTTTCCCATGAGGAAGCGATTCGCGGTATTCCGTTTCAAAAGCATCTGCAGAAGCGCCGCCAACCGTTGTCTTTCACGATCCCTTCATCTCTCTTTCCTCCTTTATTTTTTGGCGTTATTTCTAACCCAAAACAAGCGGCATAAAATGGATGTGTATACAATAAATATAATAATTTATATAGATGGCTCCGCCCTACTCCACTTGCGAAACGAACAAAAGAGGGAAGAGTTTCCTCTGAGCGAGACAGGTCTTGGATTCGGTTTCCCAGGGCAACCCTTTCGAGCTGCTGAGCACCCTCTATATAGAGCTGCTGCTGCTGCTGCTGCTGCTGCTGTCTATCACAAATCTGTCACGAGGGTTGCTAGCGTATCGGCATCAGGTGAGCAGCGTTCTACCTGCTGATGCCGGTTGCTGCTACTGCTGCTGCTGCTGCTGCTACTCCTCCTTCTCCTCCTCCTTCTCCTTCTGCTGAATGGAAATGCAATGCAAAGTTGCTGCTCTGCGCCCATCGATCAACACAATTTGATTCGCATTTGTGTGGGAACGCAGCACAGGTGCTGTTTCCAACTCGTAGAGCTGCCAACTAGCTGGAAATTCGATACATGCAGCTGCCGACTGCCGACTGCCGACTGCCGCCGACTCTCTACATATTAGATATGTTGCAAATATTTGCTTAATCTTGAGTGGAAGCTGAGCTGCTGCATTTCCTCTCGAATTTCCTTTTGGGTTTTCAGATTTCGACAAAAAGTCGCTGGCCATAATTAAGAACATGTTATGAGCGAGTAGCAGCAGCAGCAACAACAACAATTTATGTGAGCTGCATGGCAACAGCAGCAGCAACAACAACAAAGACAACAACCGCAATAATGACAATCGCACAAATCAACAAATCACGATCAGCGGCAGCCACACAGAACTCACGATTTCTGCTGCCCAAAATTCTGGACAAAAAAAAACAAAAAATGAGTCTAAAAACGTACAGCACAGATGAGTTTTGCTCCCAGTGATCAAAGACATTCTAATGCCCTTTGTTTGTTAGCTAGAGTTAAGAGATGAAGAACGAGTTTCAGTTTCAGTTCTATTCATTTCAATTGCTGATAAGAAATGAGAAATTTTCAGATGAATATAATTACATATATTATTATAAGTTAAAATCTAATTATGTGTACAGATATATAAATTTGCATTAGGAAAATTGATTGAATATCTTAAAAAATTGAATTAAGTTTCATGAATTTTTTAATGTTAGAAGTGCCTGAGATACTACATTTAGCTCTTGCACTAATTATCGTTCCGAAGAGCGATGAATTTGATTTAGAATTCTTAATATCTTATATCCATTTCCACAGTTTCCCACCGGGCTCCATATTGCGAGTAATCGTAAATAATTTAATGTACCCAGAAGTGCTCTAAAAAACCTCAACATGCTTGAGCTAGAAGAACAATGAATAAAAATTGCAAATGCCTTAGACAAAATTTAATAAGAACAAAGACAACGCAAGGCGGCGCTAAGCTGATGACGCGCACTGTATGTGCTCCTATATCTTTTAAGTAACTCTAATACATACACATATATGATATAAATATTCCAACCCCTTATGCTGCTCATCTTCCATTTGATACTCTCTGCAAAATGAGAGTACTTTAAACAAATTTGAGCAGACGCCAGCTTAAGCTGAGACAAAAACAACAACAGCAACAATAACAAGAATTGAACTGCCAACAACAACAACCACACAGTTTGAATGAACAGTGCCAATCCTCCTCCTCACGCCTCCCTCAACAAATTCTGGCTAACTTTATCAGTCAGTCCAGTCAGCTTGAGCGTCTGTCCCTTTGTCGGTTTCTTCATTGGTTCGCATTGTCTAGCTGCTAGTTGCAAGTTGCAAGTTGCAAGTTGCGGGTTTTGGCTACTGTTTCGAGCAAACATTCGACTGGAGCGCGCATGCTTCAGTAGCTAACAAGACTGTCTGTCTGTCTGTCTGTGTGTCGCACACAAAATTGTGGCCGAAATGTGTAGGCAATTTGTCAATATGCTATGACGACAACTACAACTACAACAACAACAGCAGCAGCAACTAGCAACTAGCAACTGGCAGCAGCAGCAACATTATTGACATTAGGGCACCTGTTTGTTTGCCAACATAAAACTATGATTACCGTTGTTGTTGTTGTTGTTGTTGTTGCTATAGCTATTGTCATAGTTGCTGGCAGCACGCGTACGTACGACTCACACACACACACACACACACATACACACCTGCACATGTGCACAACTCGTGACTGAGTCGAAAGACGCCAGCGTCGAGTCGCAGCCAACGTTAATCATAGACAAAATAAAAGCCATGGCAAAACGTAAAGAGTGCCCAAGTGAAAGAGCCAAATGCTAGGCCAAGCTGTAGCTATTGCTGTTGTTGCTTTTTTTTTAGGTTTTTGGTCAATGAACAAGAAAAATGGATTTTCACGGTTACATGCGTCGCACACACACACACACATACACAACATGCATATGACATGTTGCCAAGAAGCAATAGCAACAACAACAACAACAACAGCAGCAGCAGCAGCAACATGAGCTCTAGAAATTTTCTTGAGCAAGTTCGTTGCCTAAGTCTTTCGTTTGCCGCAGTTGCAAAAAACTGCGCAACGCTTGGCTTAAGCCACAGCTGACATGTCGAAGATGAGAGTAATGTTTAATTCAATTTTCGATAGATATATTGTTGTAAGGAATAAGTATAATTTTTATATAATATATTCATGATTTATATAATGATAATGGTATTAATTCTTTAAAAGAATTCTGTCATTTGAGAATTGGCGAGAAGTTGAGTAAATGTATTAGATATTATATATTATTTTACTATCAAAATATATAGGAGCTCTTCTATTATAAGTGCTGGACTGAAGAATACTCTAAGCCACCAGGGTAGCCAAGGCTATAAATCATTTATGTTATGACTTTTAAGCAATCTGAAGCTAATATGTCGCCCAAAGGGTGCGCTATCAATATCTTATATACCAAGATAAAGCAATTATAGGGATGGAATTTAGGGTCTTTGTAAATTTGTATATTTTATATGCGAAAAATTGTATTTTTTGATAAAGCTTGGCTGCTGCCAAGAAATAGAAAATAATTATAAATGAATTATATAGATGGATATATTAATGTATAGAAATATGGATTTATATACATATATATCTATAAAGCAATGTGGCTAGCCATATCGGTATATATAGATTTGGCATTACAAATTTGACATTATATTATTATTATTATTTTCTTCTTAAGCCATTTTGAACTTTTTTTTGTTATCTGCGGGTTGAAAATCT